GGCGGTAGTCGAAACATAGAGCCAACAGGCATTCCCCGTTTTCCGAACGACAGGATTCTAGTCCGAAAGGACCTCCCAGACGCGCCTCACTCGGAGTCAGCCGGTCTACTCTAGCGTTCATATCTCCTGCTGAAATCAAGATATCAATCCGGTTCACTTTACGCAAGAGTTTCTTGGATACAGTTCATGTCGATGGCTAGGGTCTTGAGCGTAGGAGATAAAGAGACCTGACCTAAACGCGTCAGTGCCCGAACATTAAATGTGGCTAATTTGAATGGGCATCGAGGACGAAGATGGGCTTCATCTGGTGGAGGATTAGGTGAGACTGGGATAGTAGTCGAGCTAAGACACGAGAGAACAGCGGCACTACTGTTCATGCGATCGTCTGAAGAACCCGAGAGAGGTGGTGTGTTTGGGAGGTGAAGGTAAAATGGGGGAGGGCTGGTAATTTTTTCGTGGAGTAAAGAACATCTAGACTGGAGAGACGTAAGATTCAAGAAATTCATCGATATATGGGCTGTGGTACTACTCGGTCGCCCGGTCCAGGGTAGGCCTTGTTCGAGGGTTCGCTCTATTCTTTGCGCAACCAAACGCTGACTGTAAGACAGCAGCGATATTCCAGATGAGTCGGTAGCCAGTATTCGGCTTATGTAGCTCTTCTGGAAAACCTTTGGCGAACCATGGATTTCAACAAGGGGCAATAGCCATGTTAAGCGGCAGACTACATTCGCCACGTTACAGTGCTGCCCACAAATATGTAATGTTTTGTGCGGAGAACCCAAAGACAACCAAAAGACAGCAACCAAAACCGGCACACGAAAGTGTATGGTTAATGGTTGTAAGAACTGAACTGAACTGCAGAGAACCCTTACCAGGAGGTTAACCCATCACATCCTCGAGCGCTACCGCTGATCGTCCACGACCACTTCGGGGGTCTAAGCCTGCCTTATTCACGGTTAGCCACGAGATGACGGTCGTTCCCCTATCCGCCACATGAGACGCGTTTGGTAGCATACAGCTCCGCTCTCCTGATGGATGATGGACGTCTTTTTAATGCAAACTCAAGAACTCAACCACCAGCACAACTAGTCGCAATAGTCGAAATATAGAACACCTATCGTTCCCTTTAAAGGTATTTCAGTCTATTCTGTGACTCTCGAGCCTTCAATATACGCACGGTTAGTTTCTTTAATGTACTACCGTCATTGGTCACTCAACTGCCTAGGTAGAACAAGTAATCAACTATAGCTGATCAACGATCGTGAAGCTTCATAACAAATTGCTGATTCTAATGCCTCACCGACCTCCAAATCTGGGGACCTTCAACGCGAAGACACTCATGTGCGTACAATGGCCCCTTGAAAATATCCCGTCCGTTCCTTATCGGAGACGCGAATTTAGGATCGTAGCAGTACCAGCCACCTAAGTGCACTGGGTCTGTCCTCATGGTCTTTCATTTTTATATCGGGGGATGACGGTGTCTGCTCACGGGGTAAGAATTGTATTGAACGACAAATTCGAGACCACATCGGTAGATTGATACCCCGTTAAGAGTCGTTTGTACTCAACGAGGCCCTGGGGTTGAGCTGGGAAGCAACTTTTAAGGGGGTTCTTTATCATCTTTCTTTGTGCCCTAATCGAGGTACACGAACCATATTTGATAGAAAGGTCAGACCAGCAGGACAGCAGCACGGAGCGCATAGTACCCAATCTATTACTGGTTAGTGTTCAGTGCATGTAATCATGCACCCTTTAGACGGATTCAAATGTCAAAAGTACCCAATTCAAACTGGTTACCGTTGCCGGAACCTAATTGTTGGCCTTTACCCTGCTGTACTTGAAGATGATGAAATGAAGCTTGTTAGGAAACAGCAAGTTACTCCCGAAGGTTTGGTCCCCTCGTGGCGGCAATTGATTGCTGTTCACGTCTTAAATAATCTCCATTGCGGTAGCTAGGTTGTTGGTCTAAATAAAAGGTATCAAAATTGTTAAATCCCGTCATTCTTCTCAGTATGTACCAATTACTTGAGGAACACGCTGGATTTTGTGCTGGTTGTGAATGCACCAAAGAAATCCCTCCGCTCTAACAGCTTTCAGAGCTCCGTCATACTTTACACAGATTAACAATCATTGTGTTCTTAAAAATCCACATGGCCTTCGGGTCCGTCAATAGAATTTTACATACGGATCTATTGGTTAAGAAATAGATTACATGAAAATTGTGTTCATCCTCAAAGTGGTTGAGATAAGGCAAATGATCAACCAGCCGTATCCAATGGAGTGGACAAGTCTACTCTATCTTCCCGGTCCTTTTCAACTCTGCCATAGAACATATTCTACAGAATGCTTGTGCGGTCTAGCAGGCTTTGGAGTTAAGCTTCTCCCTGGGAGTAGACTCCTTGACCTGTGACATCCAGGTGGCATTGCCTTGATGGATCACAGTGCACTGACAATCCAACACGCTTTGAAGATCGAGGTATGTACCGGTGGATATACTTCGTACCATACAAATGTAAGGTGATTGTGCAAGACTGACAGAAGTTTGTCCATTTATACACCCTTTGTGGTAAGCGGCTATAGATAGTCAAGAGTTCAGTTTTTCTTATTCTTTCCAGTGTAATTCTTTACTTTTCGCGACTTTTTGGGTACACAATCTGGCCTCAGACGTGTGTGGAATATGTTTGCCTCCCATATCGCTCTCTTCTGTACCCCGATCCCACCATTTTCCGTTATTACTGTTGCGTTGGCGTCCTGCTTGTTCGCAGGCCGGCAATTAATGTAAATGTTTGGAAGCTCGGATTACCTCGGGAGCTTGTTCTCAGTTCCAAGTGGTGTTGGGGAAGAGGTCATATCACGAAAAATAAGGTGGCTTTTGCCGGCTTGCAACACCGGTGATCCCACCGTGACATCCCACTTCACCTCCTGGAAAGAGAGTACAGAGCAGCGGTTGGTCTTTTGCTTTACAGCTGCGAGACCTGATCTCCACGTTGAGGCTGCTGATTGACTTTCTGAATTGGACCACCGATGTCTTCCATGCATTAGTTGTCTGGTGGGGACATCGTGTAAGCAATGGTGGAGTTCGTCACCGTATTTTAGATGCTGGCAACCATTCAGTGAAGGAGGATTTCGCTGTCCATGGCCTCCAATTGCTCGATTATGTTCCGTTTGTCTGCTTGTTGTCTCCCTGCCCTCGTGCACTTGCTGAACAAGGCTAGAAGAAGTGGCGCAACTATCAGACCACGACCTGGTGTAGGGTTATGAAGAAGTCAGCTGTACCATTGGCTTCGCTTTTTTCTCACCTTCCGATTTGGAATCCAAGAGATAAGGTTTGTGGTAAATTAGAGATGCGCAGAATGGAAGTCAGTGATTCGAATGCTGTACGGCCCTTCTTTTGAGATCCTGTGCCCCATGAATACGAAAAGACAAAGCAGGTAAAATAACACTCGCAGTTTACCGGGGATAAAGAAAAGAAAATTTTGCTTTTCTCATTGCTCTTTTTCTCATCATTTGCACCCTAGTTCCTCCTTCCTATTTATTGTGTTGGTACCATTCTTGTTTTCAAGCTAATGTTATATATACGGTTTGGATTACGGTTTTCTTAGCGAACTCCTCCAGGTAATCTGCCTGTGGTCCACCAACCCGGTTACAGTACCAGGCATTAGATTTCCACCTTCATTTTGGTGAGAAAACATCGCCATATGCAGGTAGTAGATAATATGGTGCCTTTTAAGCTACTTCATCATTGGCGCACCTCAAGCCCTAAGGTTCGAATCTAACCCGTGCCACCCAAACTTTCTTCCGGCGCGATACCATGCTTACCCTACTGGTCCCATGTGTCTCACCACCCTAACCCTCAGGATCCACGTCACCCGTTATCATGAGTAAACAGTAGGTGTACGTGCTTCCGAATGATTAGGCTATAAAAGGTCGTTATCATCATAACACGGTACGTTTTCAAAACTGCAAAGTTCATCCCTACAATTTTGCGTCATACTGACATCTAAAGTGAATTTTACAGACATCTTGGGTCACTGTTAAACTATCAGGAATCATCCATTTTATTGGATCATTTCTAGTTGATGTTTTTATCTTATGCTTGTTGCTCCAGTTATTTTTCGCTTCCTCAAACGGTATGCTATTTAACGAGGACACAGTACTCCGAGTAGATTCATTTGTTAAGGTTTACGTAACATTATTTCATGTTCGTGTCACTGAACATATTACCTGGCATCGGTTGATCTTTCTCGTTATGTTGAAGCAATTTTTTATGCCCCGCCCCGGTCGGTTTTATCCCCGTGACCAACAGTATTCTGTTGTACTATGCAATAGAAAGAGAGCTCCATAGTCACAAAAACCTGGCGTGTTTTGAAATAAACTGAAAAATAGATTTTGAGGTTAAAATATCAAATCAAAAAAGCCGAAAACTGGAAAATTTCGTGCATACCCTGGACGATTGATGGCTTGGTCAGCATCATTAAGTCATATCACGGGGGCGCGACGTAAAGTGAAACAATCATGCGACAGTAGGGTCTGTCTATGATATGTTTTATCCATCTAAGGCATTGTTTACGTGTACAGCATACCATTTATCCTTTCCTTCGAAATGATTGTTTTGTGATCACTGCTGGATAGCATCCCATAAAATTCATCTATCCTATGCTTCTGTGAGATTTCCGAATTGCCTTGTGGTCGATATATATGTCTCACCTCTCTTTCCCTTTTGGTTTCCCAGCGTTGGACCACTCTTCCTTTCCAGGAAAGCGTCATGGAGGGTAGATCTCGGACGCCGCCACCCCCGCTCAGGACATCCAGTACAGCTGCCTTACAGTAATGTGACTTTATTTACACTGACCATCACTCAGATATCGGAATGAATTCAGCCAAAAGTTGAATAAACCACTCCCACCAACGCCGTTGGAAGAGGAGAGGAGAGAAAGGAAGAAGAGTAAAAGCAAGTTGCCGAAATTCAAGCCAACTGTTATGCCGACTATCTCGGCCCCATTGAGTGTCTCACACAAAGTGCACATCACTGTGGATCCGGTCACCGGTGATTTTGAGGTTTGTTTCTTCCCCGAGCTTTTCGGCTTGACGATTTCATTTGGTTCTCTTCAGGGAATGCCTCCTGAATGGAGCGAGATCCTTGGTGTGTCCGGACTGACAAAAGCGGAACAACAACAGAACCCTTGCGTTCTATTAAATGTACTAAATATTCTATCCAACAGGGATTACGATAAGGAAAAGTTCATGCTTTCTTGTGACCAAGGAAGTAAGTTTCCTACGAGATTAGTTCTATTTAAAGCTTTTCCTATTTATGTGGGCTTTAGTTCGTTAGACGATTCTTCCCCGACCCTGTTCATGATGATGTTTTCCAAAGCTGATTGGCAATGCCACATGTTTCTCTGGGTGGTCTTTGACACTTCAGCTAAAGCTAAATCGGCTTTCATCAACCCAAGCGGTTTAGTGCACCTGTGAGACCGTTTAAGAAAAATCCCCGACACAACACGGAAGGGCTTACTACTATTTTTGTACAAACTGTAAAATCTCTCAAAGAAACATAACGACTTTTCCCCAGTCACTGTCTTGGAAGCACTACTTTTGTTCACTGAAAGCCCAAGAAAAGTGACAGTGACGTTCGGGAACAGGTGCAATGTGTAGATAGTGGCTCACTGAATCTATTGGTTACGCTTCACCGGTGATTTACCCAAGTATTATCC